CCCCAAAACCCCAAAACCCCAAAACCCCAAAACCCCGTTTATGAAGATTTATAGAAAATTTAAATTTAAAAATGTCCATGAACGATCCTCTCAAGGCGAACCATACTTTCAATGACCATTCTACTTATCTCCATAGGAGGGATACTCTGTGGAAGACAGAGAATGAATATAAGGATCCTGAGAAGAAATAATGAAAGGAAGCAGTTGATCGTCAAGGAGCTGCTACCCTTCTTTGAGAGGAACAATCATGGAGTCACCACAATGCAGTTTAAACAGTATCTTGATTCTCGCTGCAAAAATGGCAAGTATAACCCAGAGATGGTCAAAAGTGTATTTGACAGAATGAACGAACATGTTGACATTGAGAGAGGCTCTAAGAAAATTTCTGTAGACTACCTTAATGAATTCAGTGATGCCTTTATCGAGGTCGAGGAGATCTATAAAAGAAAGCAGCTTGAAATTTTAAGCAAAAAGAACATGCACACAGACCAGAGATATGAATTTGAAGATCGGTATAAGGAAGCAAAGGCTATAGAGAAAACTAATGATCATGGAATCATGGAAGGATCTTATCTTACTGTCAGAGTTGTAGAAGCCCGGAATTTAAAACCAATGGATAATAATAACAGCTCTGATCCTTATGCGGTAGTGTCTATTGAAGACCAGAAAGAAGAAACTCAGTTCATTGAGTCTAATCTAAATCCTAAATGGGACGAAACTTTTAAATTTGAAATCAGAACGGGAAAACATCAGCTTGTGATTCTTGTCCTAGATAGAGATTTATATGCAGCAGATGATTTCCAGGGTAAGTTGACCCTAGACATCATGGACTTTAAGGACCAAATGAAGGTAGACAAATGGTTTGATTTACATTCAACTAATCCCCATGAACCATGGCAGGGAGAAATTAGAATAGAAATTCAATGGATTCATTCCAGAATAAAATTTTTTGAAGACTTACTCCACAGACTTGACCAGATAGTTGTTGATGACAACAAGCAGAGAAATGAAGTTGAGAAATCTCTCAAAGAACTTAGAGCTCCATTTGGTTTCCTTGAATATCTTGATTATGGACACTTCGAAGATAATGATGTTCATAGAGCAAAAGATGCAGCTTCAGGAAGATTAGGACCACAATTAAGCCACTTTGAGAAGAAAATGGCAGTTCGTCTTGATGAAATGGCAGATAATATCGGTTTTAGACAGCCTCCATGGTATCGTTGGTTGGTAATTCTCACACTTCTCTATGTGTTCCTGACTCTATGTACCTGATTTGCGATTCCTAATTTCATTGATTTGACTTTTTCATCTCTTACAATGTTTATGATTGAACCACTGACTTTGACTAAAGGAAGTTTTAGGACTTTACTATTAGGAGTGTTCATATCATTTTTCTATGACATTATCCACCTCATCCTCAGGAGTGGATACTACTGGAACTTTGAGCTATTCTACAATGACCCTGAGAAATCAGTCTGAAGATTCTCTCTCATCTGAGCATACCTACTTCTTCTTGTAAAGTTCTTCCAAATGTTTGTCATGTGGAAAGTCTCAGTCGATTATGATGAAGTCATGAGGTACAAAAATAGAAACAAAGCACTTGATTTTGAAGGAGAATCTGAAAACTTTAGTAGAGATAGCGATTCCAGAAGACTTGAGAATACTGTTTATAACTACTAAAGCTATTTGAAGTGTTGATATTCCTAGGTTCAATAATAATGCTAGAGATTGGGGTTTTGGGGTTTTGGGGTTTTGGGGTTTTGGGG